AAATCAGAGTAGTTGACGAAAACATAAAGCTTTACTTTGTGAAGTTCGTAATCATTTACATTGCAATACATTGATAATTTATTTGATTCAATATTCTCTTCGGAAGATTTGATATAATGATTTTAAAAATATATAAATATTTTTTTAACAAACGCAACTAATAGAGTTGGATTTTTTTGTATTTGGATAACTCTATACCAGATACCAATTGCCAGTAAATATATGTTTTCCTTTAAGGATATGTTTTTCCAAACTTAGATGATTTTCACCACTATCTACTAACCAGTATCTAGTGTTTCATTCTTGTCTTGATAAGAACTATATTAGAAGTAAGTATCAATAAGTAACAATATAAAATATTATGTATTTTGAAAATGCTTGTATAATTTATTTAGTAAATTGATATTTAGTCAATTCTTTATGATACAAAAGTTAGAGCAATCTCATACAAATGACATAAGAGCCTCGATGTTCCAAAAGCCTTACAACTTAAAACAAATTTCACTGTAAATGGTGTTAAGCTATGATAAATTATAAAATAACAACTAAAGTTTATAATAAAGTAATTAACCAACATGCAACATAGTTTATATGTGGTGCAATATTAACGATATGAGATTGCATAGTTGTAATGCCTGCACAAACTTTCGTCTCCGAAAACTGTGGTAAAGTAACAACCAACTTGAATGCTGCATCATAAGGATCAGCAGCTATAATACTGTTATAAATATACTAAAATTCTGAACTTAATAATAAATAATAATAATACAATTTACATTAAATATTCATTTTATTTATTCTTGTTATACATGTAGTGTTAGTGATCTTCCAAAATGGCTTGACCGATTATTCTAAAATTTTATAGTTACGTGTATTAGGATCTGGCTAAAATCTATTTTCCATACGCCCAAGTGGTAAGAGTTAGTCAACCCTAAGTTTTTTTCAGGTTTTGGCCCAATTTATTTTATATTATATCCCTCAATTTTCACCATTCTACTACAAATTCCCACTTCGTAATAGTTATTTCAATAATAATTCAATTTTAATAATTCATTCGGTTTTCATCGCACAATTAATTATCTACTTTTTTGTGAACGTTTTACACTGAATTTTAATTAAGGTTTTCCTGAGCTTCCACAAAAGCTTTTTTTTCAAGAAACACTATAATCAAATTAAGGCTCATCCACCCCTGATGTTTTGGACCAATTATGATTATTTAAAAAAAATATAATTAAACATTTTTATCAATCATATAATAGAAAGTCAATTACTACGAATGAAATGATCAACAAATATTGAATATTTTGATGAAAATAAATGAAATAATAAACCAACACATATGTATTATACATCTAATTTGTGCATATGCCACTACAACTAATTGTATGTAGCATTGTACTTTCTAAGAAAACTTGCATGATATTTTCGATATGTGTGAATAATAGATTTAATCAATAATATTTTGTTTAATTATATACGATCTATCTGTCTACAATTATTTTCGTCCACCTATTTATCTGTCCACCTGTGTTCTTCTATAATAATCTACCTGCCTTAATGCCCACCTGGGTATCGGTTCATCAGTCTACTTGTATATATGCCTATCATTTTAAGACGATATCTGTCTACCAGTCTCAATTTCTACATTTTTACATGTTTACCCGTTCACCTGTCTAATTGTCTATCTGCCGATATGTCTACCTGTCTACCAGTTATAACTGACAACCTGCTTACATGACTACTTTTTTTCTTTTCTACTTTACTACGCGTCTACCTATCCAACTGTCTACCTATTTTCCTATCATAATGATTTATAAAGATCATATTTGACCAAGAAATTTTCATTTTTTTCTGCACCTTCAGAACCGCTGGACTTGCTTTCTAAAAATTGTCCTTTTTATCTTTGTACCTCCCAAACAGATCAGCATTTGCCAAAAATGAATCTGCACATCTCACTATGAATAGGAATCGAATGTTTTTTGAATCATTCAAATCAGTTGATCCATACTCTTGAAATTGTAGACAACAAACTGTATTCACACACACATATAAACCGCTGGACCTGCCTTCTAAAAACTGTCGTTTTTATTTTTGTGAGCCAAAAATGAATCAGCACATCTACCCATAAAAAGGAATCAAATGCTATTTGAATCATTCAAATGGGTTTATCACTACTCTTAAAATCATTGAACGGAAATTGTATCCACACACACACAAAAATTTATTGTGTAAGCTAATATGTTTAGGAGGTCTTGAACCGTAAAGATATTTAATATTATTTTTTTGTGATTTCTATAACTTACCCTACGGGAAGTTAAAAAATCGTCTATCGTAAAGTTATCTAACTTTTAATAAAATTTAAATTACAAATAATTATTTAAATACATCATATTGTAATGAAAGCTAACATTCTTACTTTATGAAACAACTTTATAATGACATTTAAAGCTAAAGTTAAATATACCGTTTAGAAAACTTATTAAAAGAAAAAACTTCACCTAGATATCTATATATATCGAGGTATTTTTGTTGCTTTCATAATTCATTCATTTATATTACTTTAAAGAAAGTCATCATTTATTCTCATGGTCTTCGCAGTAACTCCGTTATAAATCATAGTTTTATGTGGTGCACGTTATAATATCCTTCAGCATTCATTACTCACTATACTGTTCTTGAAAATATTCTGTTGTTTCTCAACTTTATGTCTTGTGAAACTTTTAATATTTTTAGAAAAACTTTCGAAGAACAAAGTGTTAATGGAAAGGACAATTATACGTTAGTCACAAATTGACAAAATGAATTCTATGCATTATTTTAAATTAAATAAAATTAGTTTCAGTTTTGAACTTTCTGTTCACGTGATTGTTCACATCCAACGCCTAATAGCGAATGAAGTTTGAAGTATGGCTAAGTATTGAGAGTTTCGTTACAATATACTTATAAAATATATGCCTGTTTATTGTAGTATTCCATATAATACACGTTCAAAATTGACAAAATGAAGAGCTGATTTAATTTTTCGAAGGCAGGTCTAGCAGTTTTGGAGATGCAGAACAAAAAGTATCCAAAATCCATTTCGTTATCATAAATGATCAGTTACATAGATATACAAGTATATAGGTAGGCAGGTAGGCAGGTAGGCAGGTAAGTAAACAGGTAAAATTTAGTCGCTGATTATCACTTAAACCTTTACTTAACATTACACTTAACTATAACAAATAGTTATTATATAGTCAAATAAAATGTCTCTATAAACATGCTCGTGTAACTCAAAATATTATCAATTATAATTTTTAGTGATTTGTAAACTTATTTTCAATAATTTAAAAGGACTAAAGAAGGACTAAACATTAAATATCTGTGAAAGATAGAAAAAATTTAAAAATAAAAGAACAACTAGGTTTAAGTGACATTTTGCCTTAATGAGTTGCATGAAGATCCCAATATAAGTATGCAATAATAGAGTTAATCAGCAGAAATTGAGATTCAACTGTTTATTTTAAAATTAAACTTATCGCTGGAGCTAAAAATTGATCAATACGATTTCCAAGTGAAAACGACATGTGTAATTATATTAACTTCAATGCACAAACACGTGCTTGCATGTTTTGAAAACGCAGCCGATTTATTCAAACTTTTAATAAATGTATATAATTCAACAAATTTTCGTAGGACTCCAACTTTTTAAAATTGTTCATTTAGTGCATGAACATTTCGCCATGTTATGTTTAATGAAAAAACTCCAAATATTTTTATTATTATTATTTAATTACAAAGAAACTGTCTAGCCGATATTTGCCAGAAAGAATCATGCTGATTAATGCACGCTTTCTAACCAATATTTTTCGAATAGTTTTTGAATTTTTAAAATCTTCCAAATTGTGAGCTAAAACGTGGACATAATTTTTTACAATTTTCTGATTATTATAAATAATAGGCTCTGTCGGTCACACTCACACAATTAATCATCGCTAGTTCCAGTACTATGTAAATATAATATTTCAATAACCAAATACATTTTGATTTTTATTACCGAATCGCAATCTAAATATTGGAACATAGAACTCTTTCTTATTAAAGTCATGTTTCTGCCTATATTACTTGCCTCGTAATTTTATTTTCATTACACTAATTTCATATATCGGCAAAACCGAAAGTTAGAAAAATCACCATGCATTCGGACACAAACATTTTTTCCTGATTAGGTTTTAAACGCATCGCAGTGACTTTTGAAACGTCCAGAAAACATGGTATTAGTCAATCGGATTTTCTGGTGTTATTAGAGAAATGAAGTAATTCCTGATTAATAAATTCTATAATATTCGTTCACAAAGTAGATTATGTTAAACAACGCCTAAACATATACATTCATTGACTGCTTGTATTTTTTTTACTTTTTCGCTGGCTATATAATCTCATTCTCTGAACAACTGTAATATCAGTCTTGCCTAAAAATATTTTCCATTTTATTAACTTCAAAGATTTATAGAAACTACGAATAATATTCATAATTATTATTCATAATTTCTAAGGAACAAGGTAAATATTAAGGAACAGAGTAAAATATTCTTCTAATTCAGGCATTTTTCATTAAATCAAGATTTGTGCTACGATGTAACTTTAAAATGTTTATTTATCTATGCCGATTTCCTTGTTAATATCGGTACACATACAACGTTGACGCATGGCGAATCATTGTCACTCGATTCTTATCTTATGTTATCTGCCGTAAAGCACTTCCGTTGCATTTGTACCGATTTACACCCTAGTCGCGCCTAAAGAAGATTTACTTGAAGAATCACAACATATATAGAAACTACAACAAGGTGAATTAAATGCAGTCCATAGGCTGCCACCATTTAAAAAAATTATGAAATGAAGGAAAAACAGAAACAAGATTTTTCAGTCCATGCCGACAATGAATTGAGAACAGCTTATATACAATCAGCATGTGATGAGTACGTCGCAACCAAATTTCAAAACTTAAAACAACTCACCCGTGAACTATGATGGGCTCATCAATCCGTCCATTCCAGAAATCGAGTTCGACACATCGGCATCCTGCTAGCAGACTCTGCCTGTAAATCTCCACACTCGACTTGCCCGTCAGCTGATGTCCTGTCAGGTACGTGTTGTGCGATGAATTGATGAAATAGTGTGCCAAAGGCTGTTCCATATCATCACAGAGATCAATCTTGCTCGGTGCCATCACGGGGTTGTCGTCGGACATCAAATACCTGAAAAATATGATTGAATTGATTAATTGCTTTGGTTTCCGATTCCACCAAGACTGCAAGAAAGCCAAGAGAGAATATTTTCCTTGTATAGATATTTATAGTTATGTCAACAGACTTGTGGGAAACAAATCATAATAAAATCTATTGAAAAGATATTTCTAAAATTATTCAAGATTCGTTGAAAACAGTTTCGATGTGATTTATTCAAATTGTTTTCCAATACATCCTTTTACACTTTGACGTGGTTCGTTTGTTTTCCCAAATAGTAGGGTAAATTGGGTACGGCTGTGCCACAGTAGTGATAGTAGCCTCAACAGCTAAATCACACTGATTTTAAGATAGGGTCCAAAGAGAGAAATATAAGGTATAATTGTTGAAGTAAAACTTCTTTAGGCGCGATATGGGTGTAAAAATTTTTAGGCGCGACACGGGTGTAAATCCGTACAAATGCAACGAAAACGCCAACGTGTAGTTGAACACTACGACGCCGTAAGCGCTGATGTCGCGAGTATCCACTCATATCGCGTCATGTCATGCGTAAGTCGAGCGCTAAACCCTATATGAACTTGCATTAATTGAATCACGTTTTTTTTACAAAAGAAGAGGTTGCTGTATTATGTCCTCATGGAATAAGACTTTTCTTAGAGAATAAATGTGTCATGGAATATAATAAATTTATATTGAATCTCGTTGAAGACAAAATAATATCTACTGCCACGGATATTTATGTAGGTTGCCATGCGACAGATCAACAATCATACATTCGTCAGCAGTTTCACAAAAATCGGTTATTGATACCGGGCTTTGCCGTATGAAATAATTTTAGTTCTGAATAAATTTTACATAATAACAACTAATATTGATATAAGTGATGGCTTAGCTAATGGTTGTGTGGGAAAATTAGTGTACATAGAACGTGGCGATAATGATGAACTTCTACGTTTATGGTTTGAATTTCCTGGTAAGATAGGTAACAAAATTAGGAAGAAAGCTTCACATCATATTCAAACTCTTAATATCAGTAGGACAGCTGTGCCGATGCTCAGGAGATCTTATTATTATTGATGTTATATGATTATTAAAAGATGATTTTTAAAATTCAAATATGATGTTTTTTTTATTTTTATCTTAATTGCCTACTCATACAATATTAAAAGTTTTACTTCAATCGCGTGTGATCCTTACGCGCACTCTTTTTTCGAACAAGTTTCCGTTATTGCTTTCAGTCAGTGCCATACTTAACATGATCTATAGACCGCAATGCTTTCAAAGAGTCGAAAGTAAGTTTTCACGTACGAATTCTTTTAATAATAACTGTTACTTGTATGCAGATAGATAATTTTATTTGTTAATTTGCAGTAAGTTAAGCATTAGAAGTAATTCACCAGCAATAAGATTTGGCTTAGATATGAGACAGATAGATTCGTAATAGAGCTCAGTCATAATGATGATTTGTTTTTAAAAGTGTGCTTTGGGTACGGTTGTGACACGTTTTGTGGGTACGGTTGTGACATGTATTTTTTGTCTTTTCGGGTGACTAAAAATACATACAAGCAGACTAAAAAAACTAAATTAACTACGACTATAAAATATGAAAGAAGAAGGTAAAAGAAAAATTCAATATAAGACTTAATAAAATAAAACAATAAAAGATTTCACAAAAAAATGTTTTCGAAATAGTCTACGGAAATTAGTATCCAAACACACACACACTCATACATCAATTTTTCCTAAGGTATGCCAAAATGTTCAGAAGGTTTTTGAAAAGTAAAAATATATAAAAAAATTCATTTTCAATTTTTTTGCGATTACTATAACTTACCCTGTAACTACGGTAAGTTAAAAATAACTTTCAGATTAGGTGTATTTACCCTGAGACAGGGAACGTGTCCTCCAATTCATATAAATAACGTACAGATTCCCAAACAGAACGTAGTGAAATATCTTGGTTTGCATTTAGACAGCAAACTTACTTGGAAAAGTCACATAATAACAAAAAAGTAGCAAATAATGATCAAAATAAAAGAATTTGATTCGCTACTGCATAAAAAGTCTAAAATTTCTGTTGAAAATAAATTGCTGCTATATAAAACAATCATCAAACCAATCTGGACCTACGGAATTGAGCTCTGGGACTATACTTACAAATCAAATATAGCTATACTGCAGAGAACACGGTAAAAAAATTTACGTACAATACTTAATTCTCCATGGTACGTGACAAACGAAACTATTTATAGCGACTTTAACGTAAAAACAGTGCAATTAACGTTCAAAGATGTAATGGAAAAACACAAACGCAAACTGGACTCACATTCGAACCCATCAATAGGTGAGATTACTCAACAATTTGGCATAAGAAGATTGAAACGACAATGGCGTTTAGACTTAGTATTAGATTAGCTCCAATATAAATATCTTAGTCTCCATTTAGACAGCAGACTTAATTGGACACATAAAAAAACAGCAAATAATGATCAAAATAAAAGCATTTAATTGGCTATTGTGTAAAAAGTCTAAACTAAATAAATTGCTGCTATATAAAACAATCATCAAACCAATCTGGACTTGCGGAATTGAACTCTGTGCTTACAAATCAAATGTAGCTATACTGGAGAACACAGTTGAAAAATTTACGTGCAATACTTACAATTAGTTTTCCATGGTACGTGACAAATGAAACCCTTCAAAGCGACTTTAACGTGAAAACGGTGCAATTAACGTTCAAAGACCAACTGGACTCATATTCAAAGCCATCAATAATAGGTGACATTACTCAACAATTTGGCATAAGAAGATTAGCTCAAATATAACATTATAATGTCAATTGCTGAACTAAGAAGATCTCATTAGATTTCTTCTTAGACATCGCTCTCAAATATTGTCAATTTAGCTCATAGGAATCTTTATGTATATCTGATTGCTAAATAAAATAGAGTTTAAAAAAAAGATTAGGTTGGCTCTTGCAAAGACTATTAATATTATCCAGAAATATTTATATGTTACGTGCTCTGCAGTGGGTAAACTATTCATGTATTTTTTGTTAGCTGCCCCTTTCACTTATATACTACATTTGCAATCAGTTAGACATTTTTATACTAAAAATGTTTTTTATGATAAAAAAACGTTTGCGAGAACAGTTAGTTATCTATTGTAATTAAATAAAATATATATCCCTTCCGCTCGAAATCAGGTTGCCCGCAATGCAGTATTGGAACTCAGAAACTTCTGGTTGCTAAGCCGAGGTTCTAATACTTGTCACGAACAAAGAGTAGTCTTTGAATTTTCTACATTGAAATTAATTTTATACTGATTCCAAACAAAGCAAATACAAAAAAAGAATTGTATTCTTCATATAAAATTTTATTCTTTCTATAAAATTTTAATTACGATTTTAGTACCTGATCATCGTACTCTTGACAAGAACCTTAACGTCTCATTCAGTAATTATATTGAATAATTTATCACATGCAATTTAATTTAACGACACAAGCACGACTAGCCGTCAAATACTCCATGGTTCTTATAGTCAATAACATTCACTGTACACAAAAACCAATTATGAAGCGAACAATATGAGGTGGCATGACGATCTACTTCAGACCGTATTATAGAGTTTGCACTTAACCGTTTATATTAATTAATTCATGAATTCAGAAAACATTTTAGCGTTTTGCACAAAACCCTTGAGACAAAATAAAAATACAGCCGAGGGCAAAACACATGTTTTCACTGACGTTTCCTAACGAAGTGTACATTTCACAAAAGTATTTTCATTTAACTGACTATATTAAAAAGTTATTAGATTAGTTAGTTATATTAGTATGAAATATAAATTTCATACTCCCGTCATTGAATAAAGTTTCGATAAAATACATTTTAGTATGGAAGAATCTGGGTACGGTTTTACGGAGAGTTGAAACACAATATTATTATGTTTCTTTAAACATGAAATGTTTTGCATGATTTGTTATTGTGTTCGTATTTTTATTAAAATAAATTTTAATTTCTTTAAAAAACTTTCTGTAGGTTATGTTATAGTAATCACAAAAAACGGAAATGAAAATTTGAACATATCTTTACATTTCACAAGTTTTTGTACATCTTTGTATATCTTGTATACATCGATATATGTGTGCGTGTGCGGATACAAATTTCCGTCGACAATTTTGAAAACACGGTTCCAAAATCCTCATTGTAGGTCAAAAATCATTATAGCACATATCAACATCAAATTATCAAATATTTTGTAGAGATTTCATAAATAAGTATTAATTTTGTTCATCCGTTATCGTGCGACGTGACGATTTCAGAATATAAAAAAAACAAGTTTTTCAAAAAAAACTTGTTCAGACTATTTAACAATTTCCAAAAATCTCTTTTTTTAAAGTTTCTTTTTCTTATTTTTAATTTTTGGTACAAGAAGTTCCAGCAATTTGCCTTAAGGCACAAAGCCATGCACCACTAATTTGTACATATCATTTAACTTTATATTATTTTGTTAGGCTATTATTTGAGTTTTGCTTTCAAAAGTCTGAAGTTTAGCATTTTTTTTATTTTAATATTTTTTACCGTATTTTTAAAACGGCTGAACCTGCTCATCAGTAAAACCTGATATATCAGAACATATGATAAATTATGAAATTTATGATATTTTTTAAATATTGTATTCATTTGACGATATTTTTTATATACTTATTTATATACGTTTTAGATCTTTTCCATCCAACGAAGTCGAAAACCTGCTTCAATGAAATGCATGTTTTTTGATGACATAGATATATTTCATGCACGATGCAATTTTTGAGAACTGAGTGGAAAATGCTACCTTTGAGAGAAAGCAAAATGAACAAAATGTAATATCTAGAGCACTGATGTGTGGAACATATTGATAACCAAAGTCTGAAGACTTGGCTTAATAGTTCAGTGGAATCAATTTTGGAATTCTCAGTTATATATTAAGTTTAGTTATATTCTAAGTTCGTTGAATATTCGAATTTTTAACATGTCATTATTCTTGTGTCCTTGAATTTTTGTGTAAATAAATTATATATAATTCGAATACTTTCTATTCGTACCAAATATTCGAAGGATTCAATACTCAAGCATCACTGATAATTAAGAAAGTACTATTATAGCTACTGTTTTTCAACCTATTTTTATGTCTGTCACAATCACAAACACTCGCCGTTTTCTTTATGATTTGATTTTATTATTACTTCATCGTATTTAAGTATTTTTTTATAGACTAACGTTCAAACTACCATTTACTTTGCTTTTCTCCCAGCAAACCGATGAATTAACAAAATTATTGCTGACCAAAAAAAGAGGCACAACCGTACCCAGTCTGTTCTATAGATTTTTGAATATTTTTAATAGATATCAAATAATTTATCGTTTAAACGGATATATATCAAAATTGGCATTTTTTTTTAAAGTATGCCAAAATGTTTAGAGGGTCTTGAAACGTTAAGATATGCAAAAAAATCATTTTCGATTTTTTGCGATTACTATAACTGACCCTACGGAAAGTTAATAAGAGACTTCGCATATTATCTAATAAAATGTAAAACATATTTATAGAGTTATTGATCGAGTACCACATCGAGCGCAACAATAAAACCTGCTGAATGTTACGCAACTAACTAAAAATATTCAATAAAAAATTCTATTCACTATGTAATAAAATGTTAGTAACAATTTTCAATAGCTATTCGTTGATGAACGATAGCGATTTAGACTGCAGCGTATAGATTATGATCAATGTATTTGTAACTTACAAAGATTTTTCTCTTTCTTACTTGAAATTATTCTAGATTTAATAAGACAACTATAAATATCACCACCAAGTCTTCAATAATAATTACTATTCGGACGTATTTTTATTTTATTATATTGACCATAAAAGCGGCAATCTTCATGGCATTGAGCTTTTACAGGGTATAGTTGTTAGGTTAGTAGAGGAGGTAGCGGATTTGGATCGGACCTAATTTTCATTCTGCTAAAACTAAAGTCCGCGTAATATTCAATAAATATATCTACCTTGATGAGTTCTTAAGGTCAAATCATTAGTGTAATAAGAACTTGCAACAAATACATTAATTATACAACAAATCAGTGTTTCGTGCAGATATTTGCTTGAGATTTTTTTACTAATACAAAGATTTGGTTCAAAAGAAGTGGTCTTTTTCTCAGCTCACAGCCAGTTTTAGGACTTTCCAGGTATATAATGTCGCAAAATAATACTATTTTGTATTCTATATTCTGTATATGATAATGTTTGTTCGTAAATGAGCTCTTTTAATGTATGTATACAACCAGCAAAAAATTTTTTAGTATTAAATCATAACTTTTACACAATCATGATTTTATAATTGTGTAAAAGTAATAGTAAACTAATCAAACTACCTGATGTATGATTAATTCTCTAAAAGGAAATAGTAAAAGAATGTGAGGTATTATTATTTTGTAAAATATATTATACACAAAGATTTGTTCCTATTTCATAAATAAGGTTCACTGCATTATTTTCATATAAAAATAAACATATTCAAAGAATTCTAAATTTTCTCTTCAAGAATAATTACAAAATTGATATTGATTCCCAAGTTTTTTGTCAATTTGAGGATTGTATGCATTGTTTATTGAAATGCATAAAATAGTAATTATTATAATAAAATTAACAAAAATGTTTGAACTATTTCGAAAGTCTTAATAAATCCTTAGACATGTTAATAACACACTAGAGAACACATTTGTGACAAGTATTATGTTTCAAAGTTATCGGAGTTGAGAAGTTATTAAGTGGATATAACTCCTCTCTGAAGCGGAGTCAAATCCTAACCGATCCGGCTTCGATATGATAAGCCCATCTCTATTTCGTATAGTTCAAAGATACAAAGAATAAATTATAACTTAACAACCTAAGTTAATCAAAAGAGAGATTAAAATACGCAAAGACAATTAATTTACCTTAAAAAACCATCGAAACTGAGCTGTCCTTTCTGCGCATTGAATTTGTTTGGCTCGTGCTCCGCGATGAGGTCTTTTGCTCTCGCCGTGTTCGCGTACGGGTGAAGAATTTCGTTGAGCCGTGGATCCCGCTGTGTACGATTTAAGAAATCAACTAATTGCGATGTTGACATCACTCTTCTTTTAGAATTGCCGACACTGAAATCATAAAACAGAGTTATCAATAGAAATACATTGGAATATGAATTAAATGAAGTAAATAAGCCAACAATGGATATCGTGTCATAACCTACTATTATAAGCCTAATTGATTTTTTGGTGTCATATCTGGTAAAATGATAATTATACCAGTATACTTAGCTTCTCTTCTGTTATTGACTATTAAAACGGTGAATATTCTATACGACGTGAAAACAAATTATTACAAGTAAATATCAACAAATCATTATCGATATATTTATTAACTGAATTTTTATCTAATATTTCATTTCCATATTAATATATTTAATTATTTCCATATTAATATATTTATCTATATAAATATATTTGATTAAAACTGCAATAATTTATATATATATACAAATGGCATTCATATTATTCGGTATAGAAAGCAATAAAACATAATTTCATGATTTTACCTCGTAGATTTACGTTTTTGCATTTTGACCTCCCTTTTTAATGAGTTATTATATCAGTACCTTGATTGGGTCTTTTCTTTCAAGCAAACCGTTATTACATCTATTTGTTATTCCTACGATCCAGTTTTGATTTAGGGAAATAATTCTAAATATTTTTTTTTGAAAATTATCCGGATAATTATCCGGTAATGTTGAGTTTAAGAAAAATGAAAGAAAAGAATTTTCAATTGATGACAGTAATTTTTATCCTCCAGGAACAAAATTGCACGTAGATTATCTTCTTCAGAGAATGATTTTGAAGATAATGAATTAAATAGGGATGAATGGGCGCATTAAAAAAGATGTCTCTTAAAAAGATTGACAAATACTATTATAAAATATTTTTTTTATTGATTAAATAAATTTTCATTGTATTCACAATGCTTTAAATTCATATATGTTTATCAAATTTTCTTGAAAAATGCCTGGAAATCAGGTTAGATAGAATATATTCGCCCTCTCCGTTAGGTGTTAAGAAAATCCGTAAAAATTTAAACATTTCCTATTCCTATCCTAGTGCACTGATTTGAATCATTTGTATATCTAGTTATTGTTAATAAGAGTTTGTCAATGAAATATACTTATCGATGGCCCTTATTATAGATTTAGGTTAACCACTTTTGTTAAAATTATTTGATTTCACATAATCTGGAATAACAAAAATTTCGAAAGACTCTAAAGAGAGAATTATATTCATGGGCAATATATATATTAGGGCCGTAAAACTGCACTGAGCGGAAAAATGAACAAGGTCAAATTGTTATTTCGGTTCAAGAAACTTGGACGAAGATACAAATCAGCAAAAATTCAATATCGTTTTATCTCTATATCAGCTTACAAAAAATCAGGTTTACTCGTCTGGGAATATGATGAAACTTTGATTGGTTACAAGAGAGTTAATAGTCAACATATTTGGCCTATAAATCGTTTGTAACAAAATTCTCTTATATACAAAAATAAATGTCTCTATATTTACACATTTATTAGTATTTTGCTTATGTTCATAAATATAGAAACATTAATCAAAACCAAGTTGTGTTCTATTATATCTGTTCAGACCCTAAGAGTCTTAAAACATTAATGCGAATCTCACACTGGCATGAATAGATCCAATTATATAGTTTATAATTACTTTAAAAGACTAAGTTTCCACTCGAAGTTCTAAATCTTGTTTAAAATAAATACGACCACGATGTAGGAATAATTTAAGTTTAAGAAATAATGGAACTTCAAAGTCCATGACACACAAACAGACGACAATATGAAAAAAAAAATTATGTTGAATAGTAGATAGGCAACTTAATATTCTAAACAGAAAGTTTCTCAATTTTCCTCATCAACCACTTAATTATTAATGTTACCTTGTAACTAATCATTAATTGTTTGTTTACTCCACACTTTATCAAAAAACAAGTTTAAAACTTTTCTCCATCGATAATTCAAATTTTCATAAAATTAGAGCTTCCTAACATATTAGGTTAAATTCTGAGTATGTGCGTAAAGAAATATAATAATACTCACAGTTCTTCAAATATTTGTTCAGCTTCCGCCCTTTGCGTTAAATTTCTATATAGATTATAAAAGTCTTCAAAGGCAAATCTCGAAGGAGACAGACTATCACCTTTTCCAGATGGCAAACCTGATGCATCCAAAGCTTTTTCCACTCGCCTACGATCATCCTTGTTGGAAGCAAATAATCGTATGATACTGAAAAATCAAATGTGACTATTTAATAACCCTTAAAGTAAATAAAAAACATGCATTTCATCATTTTAGAATAATTTTTTTTAAACAAAAAGCATTTTCTCGAACTGAAAAAAACAAATAATTTTGATAAAGTTTTGTAAAAGCCTTTACGATAACATACTTCAACTAAATATTAGATGATTATCGCTGCATATTTTTTGCATCAAATATATTATTATATTTCTTGTAATAATTTCGAAATGACTAAATATTGCGTTTTAAAAATTTAAGTGAATAAATCATAAATGTACACACATATTAATGTATACATTTTCAAATTACATTACAAAAAATACACCATATGGCAACAATTCAGAATATTACAATTTACCAAGTATAATTCATATAAAACAAAACACTTTATGTTTTTTATTTTGTCGCTTTTCTTAAATGTACAAAAACAAATTTCATACATTTAATAAAAATAGTCCCTTACAGATATATAACATAATGTTAATTTCACTCGTATCGTCCTTTCCTATATATTTATATAAGAATAATAATTGAAAATATTAATATGTATCGCCAATGATGAATGTAAAACAACATAATTTTTTGTTATATTATCTGTTAGTGATTTTTTAACTTCCCGTATGGAAAATCGTAATATCGTAATATATCGTAAAAAAATCGAAATTGAAAATTTTTGCATATATTTACGTGTTGGTCTTTTGAATGCTCTAGCATAGCTTAGAAAAAATAGATATATGTGTATGTATGAATGTATGTGTGTGTGTGCGAATTTCGGGAATACGGGTCGACCGATTTAAATAATTCAAAAAAACATTCGATTTGTATTGATACGTTCTGATTAGTTTTTGGCAAAGGTAGGTCGAGCCGTTTTGAAGATACAGAGCAAAAAGTGCCCAAAATGGTAATTGATTTTTTGAGAGTACGATTCAAAAAATTTGTATGACTCAGAAAACATTTTATTTGTATTGACAAAATGAAGAATTTATGAAACTTTTGGGAAAGCAGGTATAGCGGTTTCGGAAATTCAATAAAAAAGTGAATAAAAATGCCATTTGGCGGACAAGAATGATCATTAGACATATGCACAATAAACAATCACATATTTTATAGATATTTTAATAATGAGAACAATTTATGTTTACATTTCTATAGGTTCTGCACCAATGTTTATCCGTTACAAATTTTTAAAAATCTGAAAAATCGATTTTTTTCAGAGTTCTAAAAGAAAATTGAATCTCTTAAATTTTTTAATTTTTAGTACGGGAAGTTCCAGCAATTAACCTTAAGGCACTACTAGTTGGTTAGTAATTTAACAAATTTGTTTTCGTGTATTTATAAAAAGCCACAGAACAAAAACAAAAGTAAAAGGTACATGATCATTTGATCTGTAAACCGACTGATCAAAAAAAATCTTGCGAATCATAGTCATCTACAAAATTAGGAATGATAATTCTCTTATTTTCATTTCATTCAATAAGCAACATATAAAATAAGTATTTTAGAATTATAATGTACAATTTCGTTGTTTCATCGAAAGAGTTTTATTATGATTGAAAACTAGCAAATCGCAAACCACGCGCAAATCGACACGATCGCTCCACCGTAAATATCTCGAATATCTCTACCTTGAGCTTTGAAATATCAAATTGGTTCTACAAGTTCAACTATGCTTTAAATTGGTTTCAGATGCTTTAAATTGATTTCAGATGTACATTTTGCTTGTTGAGAGTTGCAGACACTCGTCTCTGAAACTAACCATTAGGCACTCGAGTTATGAGATGTATACGTGCCTCTCATGCTCATATTATTAGTTGCTTGCTATTAATTGTTTTTGATATTTGATTCAAAATTAATAATGTAATTATTATTAGGGCAATAAACAAAACTATGATTAATTTAATAATTGAAATTAATACATTTTAAAACTGAAAGATATAGAAAACACATGAATAATGACATTCCAACTACAAACCATTGCTAGTTATCAAGTTAGAGATTATTACTTTCATTTTGTATCTGAGAAATTTATACTTCTACTTATTTAGCTTATACTTATTTATTTTTTAAAGAATAAATAAATTGAAGCCTTGCAAAAGTTCAAATCTCCTAATTAACCCTACACATTGCAGCATTTATCAAATTTTGCTTATGGCTAAAATTCTTTTTTAACCTATCACATCTGTTTAATTTGTATGCAATTTATTTAATTTTAATCTCTTTCTAAACCCTAAAGTGCTTATTCAAATTATTGTGAATTTATATCTAAAATTTACCATTCGAGTATTTTCTTGACTCGTAATGAAATAATTAAAATATTTTTATTGTTAAATTTAATTGTTTCAAAAATTTCGCACAGCAACAAAAATATCAAATATTTCTCTTCGATACTATATTGACGTTAATTATTAATTGCAATAAAATATCCAATTATTTCACAAATTAATTACAATTAGCGTCTTTTGAATATTTTCCATTGGTCAAAATATCAAAATGTAGAGCATGGATAAAACATAAAAAAATCTTTTTTACCTATATAAATGAATGAATTATTTAAAATATTTCTAGAACTATTTACTAGATTAGACTCACTTTTTAATAGGGATTTTTCCAGATTTATCGACCTGCAGACAAAGTTTCGTATGCGCTTTCTGCAGAAACATTGTTGCCGAGCCATTAAGTTGTGTTAAGTTATAAGCAAGTCGCAATAACTCATCCGTCCACACCTGCAACGAACGAAATAAATTGTTAATGATTATGGCATTTATGACTTAAGTTTTATCTAAGTAGTTTTCTACATTTTAACTATAAAAAATGATTTTTTATAGTCTGTGAGAAAAATATGATATTTCTCTCACATTCATAACAAAAGGTTAACTAATCTCAATAGAAATATCTTTATTATATAAACAGGTTATTCAAATGCTCGTAATACGTGTACAATTTATGACAAAAAGATTTTGATATAGTACACATTTATGTTAATATCATGTTTATATGTCATATTTATTTCATTGTAAGTGTTTTTTTATTTAATTGTATTTTTTTTTTTTACAATATTATCTTCGAACATATTAACACACTCTACTCTTTTATACACTATTTAATTAAATTAAATGTGATATAGTTTATCAGTTGATTTTTATATATTGCAATGTAGAAATATTATAGATATAAATTTAAATTTATAAAAAGTAAAAATCAGAATCGCTTCAAAACTTTGTAGTTTATACTTAAAAAACTGATAACAGTATAAAGATTTTTATTAAATTTAAATTTTTACAAATAAATTAAATATAAAAATAATTTTGATAACCACAATGCGCTTCAATTTACGTATAATTAATTTTCATGCAGACAAATATGAAAAATGTCATACAAAAAATTAAAATGCTATAAATAAAGAATCTAACAGTTCGAAATGTGCAGAGAATTGGCCAATCAACGTGTATTTGTTAATTTGAAGTATCAGATCGCATATCGTTGTTACCTATTAATGTTATAAAATTTTAATTAGGTTGCGAATAAAACTCAGATTTATACTGTATATATATAAATAATTTAATATTGAATTTATTTTACTATATATAAATATCATTTAATATGAAAACTTATATATAAGCTAAAAAAATATTTTTCCTGTCACATCCATAACCACGATACTATTATATAAGATGGTATAAACATTATCAGAAATTAGATTTGTCATCAAGCTTAAAAAATTCGATGCCAATGTTCTTATATCATTAATATTAAATATAAAGCATCCATTATTCTTATAATTATAGTTTATAGTATAGTAAAGTCTATCATAAAATTTTATTGAAAAACAAATGAATTATACATATATTACGAAAAGCTGTAGTAATGAGGGCTGAGACGGAAGTAGTGAAGAAATTAATGGATTCGATTCACCTTAAGTTATTATAGGATAGGGTGGGGAACAAATGTCCAATTTGACTCTAAGCAATTATATTGTAAAAACTAAACAAATTATATCACAACAAATAACACATACCAAACAAACAACTATCTGACTATGTTCAGTAAAACTCCCAACTAATTTATCATGTGAAATGTATTTTTTACTGTTGTTCAGAAATTTGATCCTGGTCCTTACTACCTCATGGGCGGAATAAATTGGGGCGGCCAGGGAGCATGCGAGTCCATTGCCTTATTTTTAAATTTAAAGAGTTTTGCGAAATAATAGCTAAATTATTCAATAAATTCCAAATAAAAATATCATGGGTACATTTTTATTGTACTTTAACTTAATTTAATGTTTTATTTAAAAAACTTCAGTGTCTACACCATTGCCAGTTATGAAGGTTCAACTGGTCCTTTTTACCTCACCTACGTGTAAGCTTTTGTAGAGGTAATATAAAAATAACCTTTGAATCGAATAATAACAAATACATTCTTTAAACTAGTAGGGCGCATGGCATCGTGCCTTAAGGCAAATTGTTGAAACTTTCCGTACTAAAAATTATTATTTTTTTAAAAACGATTAACATTTTTGAAAAAGTTTCACTTAAAAAAAGTTAGATTTTTGAGAAACTATAAATTTGACACAAAATTACTTTTTTTGAAAAAAAAAATTTATTGAAAAAAAATGTTTTCTTTATTTTGATATATTTTGGAAATTCTGAACTTTTTTTCAAAGCAATCGTACTGCTTTAACTGCATAGAGACGAAATGTCAAAGCGCGTAAGCGCCGCGTCGCCGTCTAACGGATAAGCATTGGTACGGAAGCCATAAAAATGTAAAAAAAAATATACTTATTGTTAAAATCTCTATAAAATATCTGATAATTTAATGTGCATATGTCTAATGATCATTTTTAACCACCTAATGGCATTTTTTTTACTTTTTTTATTAGATCTCCGAAACCGTTAGACCTGCCTTTATGAAAATTTGATCAATTCTTCATATTGTCAGTACAAGTAAAATGTTAATTTTGAATTATTAAAATCGGACGCTCCGTTCTCTAAACAACAGTGCTCACTACCAAAAAACTAATAACGAAAGGAAATATTTTTTTTACGGATTCAAGGTGGATGGTCATACATCGTTTTCCCCCTACTTTCAAATATAATTGTTAAAAACTCTTAACTTTACTTGTTTTTGGAAGGTTAGTGATGAACTTTTTTACTTGCGGACCTTTAAGCCCCGCTTCACTCTACCTCAAATATTAATTTTATATATAAAATGTAAAAAATAATCATAATATATAAATAGTAATATAAGTTCATTGCTGTAGTTATTTCATGGAAGTTCAAAACTTCATTCCAAGGACAAAACTAAAAGTAGATTTGATACGCTCCCTGTAATCGACGTGTTAGTCGTTCGGACCGAGTTAGCAAAAGTTGAAAATCCGCAAGGTTGAAGCAAAAGTTCTAATTAAACCATCGTGATGGAGATAAGCCCAATTGCACATTCTAAATATAGACTTCGTTTAATTGAGCTGCATAAATGCTTTAAATCGGAACGGATGTACAAATAAAGCACCCGCCAGGCAGGTACCGGTGCATTCTAGAAAGTTCTCAATCAGGAACTAAATTGAGCTGTATTTTTAATTAAAATATATTAGATATTAAATACATTAAAAATAAATATACAATGTAACTATATGAAAGTATTTTTTCAATTTTTTGTAAATTATTTTTACGCAACTATATTATTAAAATTGAATTAGAAATGAAATGATGGTTGTTAATAAAAACTTCGAGATAAATTGATATATGATATACATTTGATCTGCCTCACAGTGTTAATTCAGATATAACAAGATACCAAAAATAATGAAATTTACAGAATATTTCATTATAGTATGGGAAGTACCAGCAATTTGCCCTAAGGCACAATGACTCTAATAGTTAACTTCCCGTAGGGTAAGTTATTGTAATCGTCCAAAAATCGAAATTGAAAATTTTTACATTTCTTCACGTTTGAAGGTTTCTGAACGTTTTGGCAAACTTCAGAAAAAATAGATGTGTGTGTGTATGTATGTATGGATAAAAATTTTCGTCCACGTTTTCGGCAGCACACATATTTGAATAAATCAGATCTAATAAACATTCAATTAATAATGATTGCGAGAAGTGGTTATTAGTTTTTGGCAAAGGCAGGCCAGGATTTTCGAAGATACAGAGCTAATGGCAGTTTTTGAGGAAACTAAGCGTCCGATTTAAATTATTCAAAAAACTTTCTGCTTGTTTTAACAAAATAATTGATTTTGAATTTTGATTTGGATCAAATTTTTTTTTCAATTTTTTTTTTCAAAGAAAAATTTTTTTGTATATCGAAAATAATTAAGATTTTATTTAATTCTGACTAAAGTTCTAATATACTTATACAAATAATTTCAACTTTGCAATTCAGTTTATATAATTCTTATTAATAGAAGACAATGTTACAATATTTATAATAATCTATTTGAAAACATTTAATATTCCTCGAACATTTTATTACAGTATATTTTATGTTCCAGTAATTTGCCCTAAGGCACGATGACATACACCAATAGTTTATATAATAAATCATCCCAATTTTTTTATATAAAAAATACCGATTTGTTGACATAATTATGCCAAGGCGCAAATAAAGCTTGTCCAAATTGAACAAATTAATTATGTTTCTATGATAAATTACAAGTGTATTTTTAATACAGAGGTCCATGATTCAATATAACAATTAATAATTAATAAAGGTTAAAATTAATAATGTATTAATTGAATCTAAAAAATGTATAGCTATATACATAATATATAAATTTATTAGAAAACTTCTTTCGATTTCAGCATCATCAACTTTTACTAGACATCAATAGGTTAACAAACTAATTAAGCTTAGCAAGTACTAAAAATAATAATTTATAGAAGTATTTTTATTATCTTGTCACCGTTTATTTAGTAATAAAGCTTTGATATCGTAATAAACAGCTGTACACAATATATTTAATAAGTTGGGAGTAAAATAATTTTTTAACTAGTTGGTATTGGTACTTTGCCTTGAGGTGAACTTCCCGAATCTGTAATTATACGACTTAATCAATAAAAAATAAATAAATTTATGAATGATTAAAAGTATACCGAGTGGATTTCTTATACATAATTGGAAGCGAATGAAGACGTTAACTCTGAGTATTTCCTAAAAGCAAATTTCCAAAAATCAATGATTTTTATAATTGAACCAGTTTCCGTAGGACTTTAATGGCTTAGTATGTTCATTCGTTAGTATGTTCTATCGTTATACCAAGTAAATTGTCTAATTTTTTGACAAACGTCAAAAAAGCAACTCATTTTGTCAAACTTTGAAGAATATTCAAAATTAAACTACTTGTCGTAAGGCCGTTTCAATAAGTTGTATAAGACCATGATATATATCATCAAAAAAAGTTTAATGAAAATCGGCATAATTTTTTTTTCAACAACGAATTACAAGAAAACGGCTCGGTAGATTTTCACCTAAAACTAATCAGTATCATTCCCTACTAGTATCTTTAGAACAGTTTTTGATTTTTTCAAATCGATTCGGTAGTATGAGCTTAAATGTGGACGAAAAGTTTAACAATTTTTTCCAAATTTCAAAGAAACGGCTCGGCCGATCGTGGCTTAAAACAAACTGACAAGCGATAGTCCTCATCTATTATGAATAGACTACTTCAAAAAATATAAAATGTAAATTTTACTATATACTTAACCTCAAGTAATAATTTGGTGTATAT